TCTATGAGCGATAGTATATCAGGATCATATCGTTTACAAAATAATACTTTTTATTTTTAATTTTGGCAATACAATTCCTATTAAAAAATATAAGACTTATTTTATATCAAATAAAATTAGGTAAAATTTCCTAATTAAGTTACTATTGTATCTAAGAATGCATCACAAAAAAAATTTAAGCATAGAAAAATAGAAATATTTAAATAAGCCACATTTCGCCAAACCATCTCCTCGAGCTTCGGCAGGTTCCGCGTGATATGTTTTTAAAAGTGGCTTATAAATTCACAGCATGTATATTATAGTTTTTCAAAATATTTTATTTAATGTTTGATTTCTTTATAATGGATATAAAAAAATATTTTTTGTTGCCGCAATGTCCGTTGTGATCGTTTCCTCCTAGAGTCTAAATAAATAATACATGTCAGATGGTTTACTAAACTTATACTTGTAAATGAAAGTAGCCATGCTGCCAAAAGCACCAAAATTTCTCATGATGTTTTTTAACTGAAAAAAATCGTGGTGATCTCACAGGCTCATAAAATTACAGTTTGTATGTTATATTTTTTAAAAATATTTTATTTAACATTTAATTTCTTCATAATGGATATAAAAAAATTCTGGTTGCCGATGTTCGTTGTGAACGTTTCTTCCTAGAGTCTAAATAAATAATACATGTAAGATGGTATACCAAAGTTATACTTTTGCAAGTGAAAGTAGCCATGCCGCCCCAATGAAATTTTTGGATTAGGGTCGCAATTTTTTCTATATGGGTGCGGTTTGTATACAGCCCAGGCTCTAAACAATCAAAGTAGAGAACACCTTCAAATAGTGTCAAGAAATGTGTGTCTTTAATAATCAAAATCTTTATGGTAGCCTTAAACTATTTTTTTATTTCTAATTATAAAATTTAAAAATTCAAAAATAGTGTAGATCGAACAGATATATGAAAACTTGAAAACCGACGGTCCAAAAATACTTTACAATATGCACTATTTCTAAAACTTGAAATCTATTTTTTTCTCATGTCCATATATCTTGATGTCGAGATGATCAAATTGGTGATATTTACGTATCAAGAAAACCACTTCTAGTAAACATTTTGAGGTGGGCTCTAATTTGATTGTTTAGAGCCTTGGCTCCATATAAACTTTTTCCTAAGGATGCAACCTTATAATGCAGAAGTACGGATGCCCCCTAAAAAATCCATCGGAAAAGGTAGTTTTAATGTTGAAAAAGCATTTGATTGATCATCTTGACATCGAGATATATGACTATGAAAATAAATAGATTATAAGTCTCAGAAATAGGGCATTTTACAACATATTATCTACACCGTCTATTTTCAAGATTTTCATATGTTTATAGATCTACTTTATTTTAATCATTTTTGAAATTTAAAATTTTATAATAAGATATAAAAATAGATTTTGAGATAATCCTAAGAACATTTTACATCAAAATTATATACCATGATAAAATTTGAAGATGCACCTTACCTCTACACCTACAGATGCATCCATATGCCAACCGCACCCTGTTATTATGTAATATAAGTTAATACTATATGATATTACATTAGTGAGAATATAGAAATAATAATAAATCATAAACAACCTTCTTAGAAAAAGAATAAATCACAATGTGCTCCAACGCCCTCGGGTTGGGCATTTTTTAGGACTCTTAATTTTAATGCTCTCATATGACATTAGAATATATTTTTTATTTTATTAAATATATTACTAATTTCATATTTTTCTAGAAATAGACTTTATTTCAAAGTTTGTCTAGATAGATTAAAGTGACATAAAAAAAGAAGAAGGTAATATTACTAATACACAAGCAAATTCAAATTTAAATCATAATATCACATAAATAGATGTTATATCCGAGGGCAGGTGTGCATTGTGAACCAGTGGAAGCATGCATTAATTAATAAGATCTTTTACAACTAAAATTTACCGCATATTCATATAAAAATTTGGTTGAAATGATTTCGTTTTGTTTCGGTAGTATCAAGGAGTTCAATGATTAAATCTTTCACTCCATTTTCGTCAAAGGTAAAGCCTAAATCTCCACTTATTTACCTTTTTTTGAGAATGGGCCGAGACCTTGGCGGTAGTATCAATGAGCTATATGATAAAACTTCTGACTTCATTCTTACCCAAAGATGGAGATTTGACTTACCTTTTTTTTATTATTCATAAGTAAAACTCAAGTTTTTTTCAATAATACTAGCCGCTATAGTTTTGTTAGTAGGCTGGGCAGCGTGGTTACAACATAAGACAGTTATGGTGGTCTCGCAGGTTTACATGTATACATCATCTCATAAAAGTATTACTTAATAATTTGTTTATATATTTGATGCGGTGGTTAAAGGGTTTTCGTGAACCCCTAGCTTGTGAAACCGAGAATCCCAAATACCAGGATCCCACCCAAGATTATGTACATGATTGGCTAAATGCGAAGTAAATGAATGTAACTACAAATCGAGTGCAAAAAAGAAAACAAATATAAAAATCATATTACGACAACATATGATTTACATGATTCACCTTGTAGAGTTACATTTAGGGCCTCGACAAGTAAAAATCCACTATCTCAATTAATATTACAGTTTTGGGTTACAAGAGATAATGCATATCTCTAAATATTGGTAAAAGACCATCACCGATCTTCCATTTTAAACTCGTTCGCTTGACGGAACAATACCGTCGATCAATACCTTCTTTCCCACTGCAATACCGCTACCGAAAATGTAACATCAAGAGCAACTAAAAGACTTTACTCATGAGAATATTGCCTCTCTCTCTTGGAGGCCATGTCTCTCTATTTTGAAGACCCATATCCATCTTGGAGATCCATTCCCATAATCCTCATATCCATTTTGGAAGGTCAATCCCATAACCCCTAAAGTGGTGACCCTCAAACAATAAGTATTATATTTTCCTGGATCCACTTTTATAGATATCACTTGAGCTTATTTTTTGCTCCCTAAAAAACTCATTCTCTTTTTACTATAATACCCTTAATTTTTTAATAAAAACACAAATACGATGATTTTAACTATCGCCCAACCTAATAGTAGTTGTTGAACTCATGAACAATTAATTTAATATTTAGTTATATATTATTTAATCTTACTTTATGTGATAGACTACAAGTATAGTTATGTGAAGGGCCACTGTACACGTGCTTTGGAGCTTGAAAATGTTTTCACTCTACCCTAAAATTCTTTTTTAACATCACTTATACAGCTATTTACTCCCCCTGTCTCACTATTCTATTCCAAGCTTTATTATTGTTAGTCTATCATCTCCTCTTATTTTCAGCAAAATGTTTGGTTCATGCATGACAATTTGCATATGTAAAATAATTTCCAAGCCTTAAAGGTGTGATTTGTATAAGATTGTAACTTTAAGGCCCAGTATGGATGTCAAAGAAAAAAATATTCATATTGAAAAAAAATGTAATGTCTTTTTCTCAATTGAGAAACATTATCATTTTATTTTATTATGTTGGTAGACTGTTTGGATGTCTATTAAAATATGAGAAGAAAATTTTATTTGCCATATGTCTGTTTGGATGTGTTGCAATTTTATTTTTTTGCATATTGTTGATCTCCATAGAGCAGCAACAGAAAAATAACTCTGAGATTTTTAAGAAATCGATAAAAAATCCCAAATCCAATTTACTCAATTTCATAATTTAATTATATTGATTTCTCTCTAGAGAGAGAATAATTTGATGGATAGGCAAAAGAGGTGAGACGTGCTTTAGAAACCTTCATCTGTAAATGTTTTGAGGTTGTAAAACATCTCCCTCCGCATACTCAAAAAACCACTCCATTAAATTTAGATAGAGAAACTCTATGTTACAGAGAAAAACTCCACTCTTAATACTCGAAGACCTGAAGAATCACGGTCGCAGCAACCTGTCCAAATGCTAGGGAGTGAAATTAGAGGTGCGACTTTCTAGAGAGAGAAAGATAAAAGTCGAACTAGTATTGGGAGATGAGATCTGCACAGTTGAAGATGAGAGAAAGAGAGCTGTGAGACCTACTTGAGAGGGAGAGTGAGGTTTTGTAAATACTACTCAAAGAGGGAAGGTTTGGGGAAAGGCTCAAAGAGGGAAGCGAAAAAATAATTTGCATAGTTGTAAATAAGGGAAGGTTTTGGGAAAGATGTGAAGTGTAAAGGGAAGGTTTTGAGAAAGACGTGAAGAGGGAAGCGGAAAATAATCTGTATAGTTGAAGATGAGAGAAGGACAGAATTGTGAGACCGGTTCATGAGATAAAGAAAGAGCTTTGGAGAAAGAGGCTTTTGTAAGTGAAACTTGCTTGAGAGTGGGAGAGAGAGAGGCTTTTGCAAGTGGGACTCAAAGCATGAAGGTCTGGTTTGGGGGAAAGGCAAAATGGGAAGAGAAAAAAATTCGAGCCAAAAAAATTTGAGATTGAGTCAAATTTTTTTTGCTCACGTTTTTTGGTAAATTTAGCTTAACCTTGGGGAATAAAATCTAATGGAGTTATTCAAACGGTCCCAGTTGCTATCTCAATCTTTTTTTTCTTGTCATTTGAAAATATTGCAATTTTGAGTACATCCAAATTGGCTCTAAACAATCTAATTAAAGCACATCTTCCAAATGTTATCATAATTTTGATGTAAATTTTTTTAGAATTATATGAAGATCTATTTTTATTTCTAATTATAAAATTTTAAGTTTAAAAAATAATTAAAATCAAATAAATTTCTAAACATATGAAAATCTTAAAAATTGATGGTCTAGATAATGTATCTTAAGATACACTAATTAAAAATTGACGGTCTAGATAATCTTAAATTTTTAAATTTTTTTTGAATATTTAATCTCGATATTTAGATAATCAACTAAAAAGTTTTTCAATATTAAAACAATCCTTTACTGTAGAGTTTTGAGATGCATCATTAATTCTACATTATTTTAAGGTTGCAACCATATATAAACTTCATTCACCGTCACCAGGTTTTAAGCAACATTATTTTAAGGTTACAAGCATTTAAAAGCCATTCATTCACAGTAGCTAGTATTTCGCCTCTTCCCCACCCTCTTCCATCTCTCTGGCTAGTATCTTCGAGGCTTTACTGGTTTTGAGCCTCTTTCAAGCATCAGAATCCATGGGTATCGAAACAAAAACAGTCATAGTTCTATAGTATTTTGTGAAGATGGTAGAGAGTTTCAAAGGGAGATCTCTTGTTAATGTCATCGTGGAGGCCACTTCTCATCCATTGCTTCTGAGGAGAGGAAAATTTTCAGAGAAAACAACGGGATATACTTGTTTATTTATGGCCTGGTAGCCTCTGTAAAGCCCAGAAATGTTCAGGAAAAAGTTATTTTTCCGCGTATGTTCCAAAAATTCACTATTTTTCGCCCCCATTTCTGCTGTTTCAGAGGTTAATGGCATAAGAGAGGGGCTCTTTCTCTCTCATCTCCATTCGGCGAGTGGAGGGATAGCTTCTAATGTGAATCCCTCAAATTTAGGGTTTCCAAATGATATAGGGACTGGCTTTAGTGCAAATTCCTTCAAATTAGCGTCTCCAAGAGTTGCAGAGAGGAGGAATGTTTCTTCGTTGACTACTTTGAGTCCTTTGGATTTCGAATCGAAGGTTCGAGAAATTGGAGATTCAGCTAGACACTATGGACGGTGTTATTGGGAGCTCTCTAAAGCTCGTCTCAGGTTAGCTTTTTTGACTATATTTGAGTTTGCTGAGAATTTGAGTTTCCAGAGAATTTCTGTGAAGATTAACTAACTGTATTAGGACATGGAAAATGAATATTTTTATTGAAAAATGATTTTTTTTGTCAAGGGGACAGATTTGTGTTATTTTATCTTTGATGCAGATTTCTGTGTAACGGAATTGTGCTAGGGGAAATGGGAATTGTCCTTTTTTTCCCATAGTTATGATATTGAAAAGTCAGGGAAAATGTCTTCGGAAGCTAATTGTCTGTCTTTGATGTAAATTTGATGCATTTTTATTTTTCTGGCTATCTCGGTTCCATTAGGTTTGAAAGCAGTGATGCTGATCCATTAGGTCAGACTGTCATACTTCTCAGGTTTCATTTGCTTGGATACATTAGATGAGAGGCAATTCAGAATTATTTAGTTACTAGTGTAGCAGTTATAATGTTTGTGATAGCAGTTGTCATTTGGGCTGAAAATTTGTGGTTGGGAGAAACAGAGGCCTTACTCAATAACTAATTATTGGAATCCACGGAGTGTCTTATAGTAATTGATGTGCTTCAGAGTCTATCATTCTGATGCCAATTATTTGTAGCTGAGGGTCTCCCTTTGATGCTAATTGTTGTACTCACTGAGTCTCGCTCTGCTACCACTTGTAGAGTTCAATGGTAGAGCAGAAGTGCTCTCTAATACAATTATTGAGACACAGGGCCCTGCACAGCTTCTTAAATGTTGGGTAATGATCTTTGTTTTTTTGTTATAAAATTCTGGATCTAGGTGCTAGCCCTTGTTGGTCTAGGCACTAGCTTGCTAGGCCTTGTTGGTCCTGACACTAGCTCTATGATGAAGTGTTGAGCTTCCCAAGTGCAGCAGAAGCATTGTGAAACTGTCTCCATTCCATTACTTTGTCTTGAGTTCATAAGTGGCTTTAACCATTGTTGACCTCTAGCTTCTTGGAATTGCGCAAATTCCATGTCTTATGGATTATGATGCCAATCTCACAGAGGTTGTGTGGTTGTCGGATGCTTAAAATTGTTAGCCTAAAGCTCATAACTTAGAGATTGCGACAATAGTTGTTGTTTCTCTCTCACAACTGGAGCCAATATTACATGGAAGTAGAAATATTGTATAGTGAGCCCATAATGTCAAGAGAGAGAGGGAGGTTGGGAGGGAGGGTCTCACTTTGGCTATGAAGAGAACTCTGATTTGAGCCATGCTGGAGGAGTAGTTTGGAAACCAAGAGCAACAATATGCATGTTTTCTTTTTGTGTTTGGCTGGTTGGGTTATATGCTCAAGTAGTTTGGACCAATGTTTAAAAACCTAGCAGGGGAACTCGAAGCATGTGCCTGCGATGTCTGAATTGGCCGAGTTTACTCGGTGGGTCGGCCTGACTGACTCAGCCAATGCATAAAAAAGGAGGAGAGAGAAAATTCTCAAATATACATAAAGATACATATAATGTAACTATTCGTAATCAAAACACTTATTTCATATTCTAAGTGGAAAATCAAAATCATAGCAAAAAAATTAAAATTAAAATTAAAATTAAAATAAATGAAACAAGTAGGAATGAAAATGGCAAAAAAATAAAATAAAAGCCCAAAGATTATCAGAGATCGATCTTTGATATTATTTGGTTTTGATTCAAGAAAAATTGTTGGCTTTTGTAGATCAATGTTTGAAACATTTTTGGACAAATTTGAACTAATTTCGTGGAACAATGAGTGAGAAATCAAAGATTTTAGATTTTGGGTTAAAAGTACCCCCGAAATTTCAATCTTTGAACAAGGGCTTCAATCCAAAAAATATGATAAGTATCTGTCGAAGGGATCTAAAAGGATCATTTTCAAACAAATTTCAGAAATTTTGGTGGTTGAACGACCAAGATTTTGTCAAACAAATTTCAGAAAAACAAGATTTTGTCTTAAGTATGAAACAGACGCCAGAAAGGGCTCTGTTTTTCCAAAAATGGTGGTTGAAATTGTCAAATCTTCAAAACACTGGGAGCAAGTTTTTCTTTTCATTGTTCATCTCTTTTTTTAATTAAGCTTTCACTAATGAATGTAATAAAAAAGAAACAGTGAGCTAATTAATTTGTGAAACAAAAACAATTTACTAAGCTATCCCATGAGTCTTTTCCCTTTATTTAACTCCATAATTTAGTAGAAATTCCTTGACAAAATAATGAATTGAATAAAACAAGAAAAAATGCTAATTAACTTACATAACAATAAATAAATAAAAGAACCAGATTTTTCTCCTTCTATTTATCTCAAGGGTGTCCTTCCTTTGGATAATTAGGTTTTTTAAGGTTGGTATTTATTCATTGATTATTTTACTAAAAAAATGCTTTTTTTAAATTAACTAAAAAATTAAACGGTAAAAAAAGGCATGCAATAAAAAGGACAAACCTCAATCTTTTGAATAAATAATGGTTTGAATAAATGATGGATAGATTAAAAAAAAAAATGATGGTGTTACCCTATTTTAGAAAGTCGAAGCTGATGAGTTGGTTTGATGTGACATGTTGCGTGCCCCTATTGTGGGGTTGGGTGCCTGCCTCCAACATTTGCCTTGGTTCTTTTGTTGTGGTGTTACTTATATTTTGGTTTTTAGAGTTGTGAGTTCAGTTCCTGTGGCAACTGGTTGCTCCCCTCTCAATGGCAGTGATCCCCTTCACTTGATGTACAATATGATATTTAAAATTAAAGCTCTTTCACTTTCTCTCTTTCTCTCTCCCCCTCTCTCCTTGTAGAGAGAAAGAGAGAAGTGGTCCCTTGGCTTGTAGATGTGATCCTAGTTGCCGGAATCTCTCACCCAAGGTCATGATTCTGATTCGGTATCCCGATCCACGGTTCTAATAACGAATCTTCACAAAATCCTTTTTCGTGAAGTTAGGAATTTCATTAATCTCGATTCCAACACTTACATAATACTGTTTTTTATATTGATTGATTCTTGATTCCGCAATTGTTGAATCCTAATACTACATTTGTTGAATCTCTCCATCAAATGAGAAACACAAACATAGGGCTATGAACTCCAAAATAAATAATTCAGAACCTATGAGAAGCATCAAATCAGAAGCTCGACTCCGAAACATATCAGAATCTCAATTCCTTATTTGGGACAATCTCGATTTCATATGGGTTGATTCCAAGTAGGTTAGAAGCTCGATTCCAAAGAGGACGGAATCTCGATTCTTATATTTAGGGCTCTTGATTCCATTTGGGTAGAATCTCAATTCCTATAAAGTACGAATCTCATTTCCCACAATTCCCTTTGTACGAAAGTCAATTCCAAAAACATGAATCTTCTAGCCAGCTGCAATTCCGCAATTCCAATTCCTAAAACGATTTGGAATCTATAGGCAGGATCTCTCTATGTCCATCTTTGGCAATTTTTTACAGTTTACTACATCAATTTTTTCTCTTTCCTTTTCTACTATTCTGACTCCATTTGTGAGATAGTGAATGTGACGATTGTTGCTATATCAAGGTTGTCGACTTTTGGGGCTACAGTTTTGAGGTTGTAAACATCAAGCGATGTAATTTTGATCTACAAGAAATGGGGTTAACGAGCATCTATGGAGTTGTGGTCAACATTGGTTTACACCACTTTTGAACTAGATGTTTAGTAGCATATTGGGGCCAATTTCCCAGACATGGATATCACATTATGCTCCTGTACACTCAGGTATTTTACTGGTGATCTTGATGCATGCTTTTGCTGCGCTTCGGAAGCTTGGACAGTGTCTGAACCACATTGATCTAACAAGCTAATGCCTGGAGCAACGAGGCCTGGTATCACAGTTTTTTGACAAAGATTTCATTCAGTAGGTGTACAAATTTTGCATTTTTCATTTCCAACAGATTGCAGCGAATCAAATGCGCTGGCAGATTCTTTGGCAATAGAAGGGGCATCTAGATCTGCCATACTAGTGGTTTCCATGTTAGGGCCACCCCTTCCACCTTTACTTTCTTCACTGTAATTTTGCAATTTCGTTACTAGAGGGTGGTAACGGTGACACCATTTTTTGTTCTTTTACATATACATGTGCACTTTAAAATTTTAAATGAACTTATACATGTCAAAAGATCAAGAGCTGGCATCTGGATCCTAAATTTGACATCGGAATTGCAAGGCTCGAGTTTCGGGGTGTTTGTAACACCTTTAAGCAAATTGAAAATGACCATATGCTCCCAGATGGTAGAATTCAAGAAATAATTCAAAAGATCATGACAAGACCCCTGGGAAAATGAGATGGAGTCATGCATACAAAATGCTGCAAAAGTGAAACATGGAGGAGTTAGATAGGTAGGTCTGCCGCAAGGAGAATGTAGCTCTGCACCAGATCGAATACTTCAATTTGAGTGAATAAATAGGACAGAAGTTGATGGGGAATCCAGAGATAATGTTCTCAAGAAGGTATCTTTTGTCTTAGTTCGAAATAAATTTGAATTTTGGTGGTGTTCATGACATAGTTGTGCGGATCTTGGTCAAGGGGTGATCCCCTCTTGGAATCTCGATCCGGTGATCTAGGAGCCGGAGCCTGAGTGATATTCACTTCAAGTGTTTAAAATATTGGCCGATTTTTAATTTAAAAATCGGCCGACTAACTTGGGATCGGTCACTGGTCGATCCTGATCTGGCCCGATTCCAATGGTCATGTATGCAAGAATTTTTTTTCAATGCACTAATCGACTGATTAGTGAACTAATAAGCGATTTGTTCTAAAAATCGACCGATAAGTGCATTGTCATAGTGCATAGTACGCAAAGCTGTCCTTATAACATCTTTTTGTATATTTCTCCTTTTTTTTTTCTTTCCTCTATTCTTCTATGGGGACAGTTTCTATGCGGCCAGCCCGCATATTGTAGAAATGCGGGCTTGGCAATAAATATATTTTTTAAATATAATTTGATCCTAATTTTTAGAGAATATATAATTTTTAACATGGAGATCATGAATATGAAAAAAAATAAAATAATTTGAAAACTAGAAATAATAATTACATTAAGAAAATATTTGGACTGTTAGTTACACTTGTTTTTAGATGGGGGATGCTTTATACCTCTGGACCACATATTGTAGAAATGCGGTCCAGCCCGCATGAAACAATTTTCCTTCTTCTATTTCTCTACTTAAAGCTTTATATATTATTACAAATTTTTTATTTGCTAACTGCAAGGTTTGCCGCCTTGAGCGAGTAGACTCAAACGCACCAGAGTTGGTCAGGCTTGACAGGTGCCAAGCCTGTAGGTCCCTCAACGCAAGGGATATAAAATTTATGAGAGTGAGATGGAAATTTATCAAAATTGTCACAAAGAGACGAACAATTTTTTATTTTACCTACATTTTTAATTGAATTCCAAAATACCCAATAAACAAATATGGTCTTGAGTTGAAATATAATATTATATCATACATTATTATATATTATATATTATATATTATATATTATCTATTATATATTATGTATTATATATTATATATTATATATTTATATTTATTTGATTAATGTAATTTATATTATATAGTATATATTGATTACATATTATATATAATATAATATTAATATATATTTATTATATATTAATCATTGAAAAAGTATTGCTTCAGGTGCCTAATCATTTTCTCCAAAACTCAATTATGCTTATAATTTTTTTTTACTTTTTTAATGTCACAATATAAAAAAAAATACATGTAAATTTTAAATATTTTTTAACAATTTTTTACAATTTTTTTGGGATTTTTTGAGTTTTTTGGGATTTTTCACCAAAAATGTATTTTTCAGAAAAATCGAAGCACTAATCAGCCGATCTAGTCAGAATCGGTCGGACTAATTGGATCGGGCAAGGACTGACTAGTCAGCCCGATCCGTTGTTTTGAACACTGTTCACTTCCTACCATCAGGGGTTCTTGACCCCTACCTATTGGGATCTGGGTTCCTAACTTAAAAAGATCTTGATCCTTGACTGGGAAGGATCTTGATCCACTCCTCCAAATTGTCTACTTAATTGTTGATTTTTATTATTTTATAATATTCCAAAATGTATTATAATGATGGAATTATTTTATATATTTGCTTTTTTATCGTCATTTTCATTTAAAATTTAAAATTTAAAATTTATAGTATAAAATATTTTCTTGAATTTTGTAATGCCTTTTGTGTCATTTCATGCATTTATTGTATCTCATTTCAAATATTTCCTAAAATATTTACCTTTATTGTAAATTATTAATATTTTTATATATTATATTTTCTTAAAATTTCTTTTCTTCCATTCCAAAAGTGTCAATGTTTATTTATTGATTTTGTGTTGTTTGAAAATGCATGGAAATAATGACATTTTTCATTGATTTATTTATTCTCTTAATTTTTATTTTCAGACTTTTCTTTATAGTAGAAAAGATTTTCTTGGATTTTGTAATGCCCTTTATGTCTTTCATTTTTTAATAATCAATTTAGTGCTTGTTCATGCATTTATTACATCTGACTTCAAATCTTCCCTAAAATTTTTTCTTCATTTTTAATTCATAAGATTTTCATATATTATATTTTTTTTCTAAAAAATGTCTTATCGACCTTTCAGAAGTGTTTACTCTATTGATGAACTTTTTTTTTTTAATGAAAATAATGACAGTTTTATTGATTTATTTATTCTCTTAAATTTCATTTAAAAATATTTGTTTATAGTAGAAAATATTTTCTTGGATTTCACTAATGCGCTTTATGTCTTTCATTTCTTAAAAAAACAATTTAATATCATTTCATGCATTTATTGTATCTTTCTTCAAAAATTCAAATCTTCCTAAAATCGTGTCCTTATTTTTTATTATTAAGAGTTTCATATATTATATTTGTAAAATACAAATTGCCTCTTTTATTTCGTATAAATTCTTCTATTTATAATAGAAGATCTATTTTTGGATTTTGTGGTGTTCTTATGTCTATATACTCTTAAGTGTACTCTTATGTTTGTAGACTCTTAAGTGACTCTATAGAAGGGTATTCTTTTTTTGGATTTTGTAACTTTTTTATGGGACTTTCTAGCTATAAAATTCTTATTTAGCCTGTGTTCATCATATGGATAATGCTAAAAGATTGATTGTCCACTCTTTTATTTTTGAAATATCACTTCTAAAAAATTGATGGTACATATTGTAAGTATACGCACACACATACATTTATGATTTATCATTCGGGTAAGTGCAATAAAGAGGATACTAATATACAGATACACATCTCTACATATATTGAAATATATATATGTAGAAAAAATTAAATCCCACACACACACCCATATATATATATATAGGGCAGTGATTTCATGCAACGGTTGTATTATAGTATAATGCAACGACACTTTTAGAAAACCATGTTGGCGGTATTTGTATGACCCAAAATTTTGCAAACACACTCTCTTCATCTCAATAATCAATCCCAAAAAAAAAAAAGTTTAATTTGAACACTAGATATGGTCAAAATGAGTCCCCTCAAAAAAATGAACCTAGACCATTCGTTTGGTGAATTTCAAGATCTTAGCCTTTATAAACTCAAAATCAATTTGTTTCTGTTTTAACATTGTTCATCTAATGATAATAAAGCCATCCAAAAAAATTGGAAATGAAAAAAATCCTTCTAAAGCCTAGATCTAAGCATCTCACCAAAATGAACGGCCTATGTTAATTGGGCTAAAAAAATACTTTTTAGGGTGTTTTCAAATTTTTCTTTTTTGTGATTGTTCATTAGAATGAAAAGAGTGTATATTTCAAAATTTGGGTCAAACAAATGGCTATAACATGGTTTTTGAAGGTTGTTGCATCATATTACTATACAACCGTTGCATGAAATCATTGCCCATATATATATATATATATATATATATATATATTTGGGGGTGCTCCCCTTACGATTCCAGATACATGAAGTGCATATATAGGAGATTGCTCCCGGGTCTCTCCCTAAGCAGCACTCCAAGGGTAGGGAGCTTTAGCCAAGGGTCCAAGGCAGTGTTGCAAAAAACGCCGGATGGCGCCTAGGCGTCTGAAGGGTCTTGGCTGCCTAGCACCTAGGTGGGGGACCTAGGCTTCGTTCAAAAGGGGGCAAGGGGTGTCTAGTAATCCTATTTTAGGTAACACCAAAAATACCCCACCTGATGGGTATTTTTGCACCTAAGCGGGTGCAGTCCCCTTGACGCCTGCATAGGCGGGTGCTAAGGGTGTATGTTTTGAAACACTGACTAGGATATTAATCATATCTGTATTGCCTATCTATATTCTTTGTTGTTTTCCATTTTTGTCTAAGTAATTTATTGTTTCATGGTTGCAAATTGTTGTAATTGATTACACTGTTTCTGGGAAGGGCTTTTTATACAATAAAGACCAGGTACAGTTAAGTATGCTATGGCGACTAACAAACAAGCAACTTTTACAGTTCGATGGCTATTAAAGTACCACTTCCAGCTTGTTTACTCTACAAAAGGAAGAGTTATTTCTTTTGTATTGTGCTTTATATGTAAACAGAAGGGTCACAATGAACCATCAGGATTGGGTACCTATTGAGAACGTGTTTAGACTTTGATCTTTTTCCTATCTTAATAGTTCTCTCTCTCTCTCTAAGTTCCACGTGGATCTCTCTTATTCTTCTTTTATATTTGTTTCTTAATTCACAGATTTGTCTCCTAAGAATTCATTCATCTCTACTTCTTAAAGGTTGTAACTCTAGAAAGAATCACACAAATATTTATATCAACGTTTTTGGGACATCAAATAGGTAATATCCTATTGCCACCCATAAAAAAATATGGAGTTCATCATGAAACATGTGGGTAGTCAAATTTCTTTTTCTTTATGATATGTTAGGGCCTCTTGGGAAGAAACCCATTGAGAGAAGCTGCTGATCAAAGCAAATTCCTATAAATTTGCATTCTAGCTTTCTAAGGTTCAAAAGGAGGGAAAAATAATTATATTTTTTAATGATCAATATTATGACATGTTCATAATACTTGTCCCTTCTAATTACTGATTATTTCATCTTCTTTTTCTTGCCTTTTATTCTTCACAGTATGCTCGTTGTTGCAACTTCAGGAGCAGGCTTTGTCCTGGGAAGTGACATTGTGATCGATTTTGCTGGACTTTGTTGGACTTGTGCTGGTACTATGATGGTTGCTGCATCTGCAAACTCTCTGAATCAGGTCTGTTACTTGAACATGACCATTTTAATTAACAAATTCTACAAAGCTAGGACCTGATGTAACTGTCTATACATGGAATGGTTATCTACAACATATTGATTTATCTTATTGATGGAATGCTATGTCCTACATCCGCTGTTCGTTTCGTTAGTCTTCCTTTATGTATCTGTGTGCCAATTACTGTTATGACAAGATGAACTTTTTCCTTTGTGTATGTGTCTGTGAGTTTGTTTCATGTTCCTTGCGTGTTTCACTTAACTTCAATTATATATTATTTCTTGACAACGGATATTTGTAATTAAGTTGAAAAGGGAACTCACTTTGTGCTTATGATTGTTCTTTCTTTGTATTGAACAATGGGATCATGTAAGATTGTCTTTTTACAAATCTTGAAAGCTTAGTTCCGAATTCTTTTATTTAATTTGAAGGAGGTTTTGAAGGTGGATTAGTCTAAAGTCTGTGAGCTCTATGCTGCCGTTGCTGTATGATGTGTAATGAGGGAATGCTAGTTTTGTTGTACAATTTACATAACGTTAAATGAATTTTATCATGTATGAATAGGTTATCCAAACCTAACCAATTTATGATTTTCAGTTGTGCAAATATGGATGCTATTTCCAATTTTAATGAATTTTATTGTAATTTGAAGATACCTCTTAGCTCTGGCTCACAGCATGTGAATATGTTAAAAGTAAAAGATGAAAAACTCTGCATTTAAGTTGACTTTGATAATGGTTATCGATATTATAAAATATCTGTACAACATCAGTTTGGATGACTTGTCATGTATATACTATGGAGAGGAAATGTTTGCCAGTCAAATTTTGGCAGTTACATGTTGGTGTTTCCATCATAATTAATTTGGATTGCATGTCTCCAGTGTTGCAATGATTGTCCATTTATTCTTTTAATTAATCTGTTCATTTTTATCTGCTGACAGTTTGATGCAACATAGCAGAATAAAGCCTGTCTGAATTTCACATTTATGTATAAGATCTCTTGATTTTTTGTATGTTGAAACCATGATTTTTGCATAAGCCTGCATTGTCACATGGCTTTTCCATCATATTCTATAAAAACGTCAAGAACATTTTTACTTTTTTGTTGAATTTTTTTTTGTTACAAAAAGTGGAAATATTACACGATAAGAGGCTATACATCGGAGCTCCAGAATGCACTCGACTATAATAGAAATTATTGGGGTTTCATGGATGCTTTGACTAGTTTAACCATGCCATATTTGTGAGCTACAATCAGGACTGCTATAGCACGTGTAAATGGTTGACTGCTAGGCTAAAAAGTTCCTAGTGTACGCAACACTCTCCTCTCAATGCTGAGGCATTGGTTTTCTGGTTTCCTTCCTGAAATTAAGTGCGAAATTTTCAATTCAATGTCCAATACATGTTCATTGGACATACATTAGCTTTAGTTTCCATGTCCAGCCCACCGAAATTACTTTCTTATTATGTTTCATTTGCTTCACTAAAACTGTAGAGGGTTTTCTACTTGGTTTGTTCATTGTTCGCAAAATCGTCCGATCTAACCGGGGATCTAACCGCTAACCGCCCGGTTAGATCGGAATCGGCCAGTGGCCGGTTCCGGTTTTGGGCGGTTAGGGTGATCAACTGGTATTTTAAAAAAAAAAATTAAAAAAAATGTATATAAATTCTCAAGAATAAAGAATTTTACTTGTAATGCATTTTTAAATATTCTTTATATTATGGTAAAGATTAAAAATTGTTTTGGTCATTAATACTCACTGTTTTATTTTTCCATCTTTTTTAGAAAATTTTAAACATAGCCCTTGAAAAATATAAATTAGGTTAAAATCCTTTGTTGTTTTCATTAATTTTTAACTTCATTTGAATGTGTTTTGTTTTAATCATTCTTTATATGTTTTTCATATTTTATTATTTTATTATTTATTTTTTTATTTTTTTCAACACTTTTTTTACCGCCTAGGACTTGTCCGGTTAGAGCGGTTGAATCAGCCGGTTTACCGGTTAGGCTGATTAAACCGCTTCCAGGCCCATGTTCGGAACACTGGTTTTGCTACATGCCCAGCCAATTAAATATGCTTAAATTATCAGCCAAAGACTGAACCTCAGCTGCATATTAAGATGTATTACAAAAAGGAAAAGAAAAAGCCTAAGTGCGAATACTAAATGAGGTCAAAATAGTAGTTTAAAAAACGGATCGGTGACCCGGATCGGGCACCTCAAAAACCCATCCGGATCGGTGAATCGACGATCCGGATCTGGAATCGACCGAATCGGTCGGATTAAGCCTTAAAAAAAATCCAAAAAATGTATTAAAATTCATATAAATGTTGTTTTTTAGGAATCCAATAAGAAATGGGGGCACTCCATTAAGAATTTTTATTTTTTTGCGTGAATATGCGAATATTGATATGTTCTTTCCCGACATGAACTACTGTTTACCATTTAATTTACATCACACAAAAGGATAAGCAATAATTATCATGGATTAAGTATATTATCATACATGGACTACAATAAAGCATACAATTAGTAACATACAACCTAAAAATAAAATGACAGACGACGTCGTTCTTTATCTTGGTCATGCTGGTGCCATTGATTGAATTCACGTGATAATTCATTGACTCAATCTAAAAACGAATCATCCAAATTAGTAGGTACCTGACTATACCTAAATCACTGAGTGTTAGTGTTTTGTTGCCCTCCTAATAAAAAATCCCCGAAGCTTGTCCATCCTTCATGCTCACCTACACTGTCGTGCTCGTTTCTACCCTCTTGCTGTTGGGACTCGATATGTGAATAATTTGGCTGGGATTGGGTGGCCTCAGAAATAGTGACCGACCTCAAAAATAATAATAATAAAATAAAAATAGAAAGTAATATATATATATATATATATATAGGGAGTGGATTATGTCAGCCCACGGGCTGATTGCTATAGTATCAGCCAATGGCTCAGATTCAATCTGGGCTGATTTGACGGCTACAATTTCATTTCGTATTTGAATTTGAATTTTTTTTTCTACAAATCCAAATCACTTGAAATTTTAGATGTTCATTCTTTTCATCACGATGCACCTCATAAAAATATAAAAAAATAATTCGCGAAATATAAATTGACCAAAATACCTCAAAAAATGTTTCGGAGGTATTTTGATCAATTTATATTTTACGAATTATTTTTTTTATGTTTTTATTAGATTCTTTTATTTTTGAAGAATAGACGCTCCAAATTTCAAGTGATTTGGATTTATAGAAAAAAATTAAAATTCAAACACAAAATAAGGTCGTGACCATCAGATCGGCCCAGATTCAATCTGGGCCATTAGCGGACATTGTAGTTATCAGCCCATGGGCTGACAGGATCTTTTCCCATATACACATGCGAAAAAACTACGCAATGCCTATAGGCGAAAATGAACAGTGATTTCGCCTATGCTCATCACCGTCCAAAGTTCATTGCACGGTCGCAGTTGTCTTGTAGTGTTTCGATTTTCATTTTTTTTTCACAAATCGGAATGATCTGAAATTTGGAGTGTGTGTGCATCTTAGTGCGGCGCACTTAATA